CTAATATCAATCCTTTGCTGGTGGTCACTTCGTTGTCCACTGAAAAGTAAGGCAAGATTGGCCGCTGTATAAGTATAAAGGAGGGTGAATAATGTGGAAAATAATAATAATAATGACAATAATAGTAATAATAATGGTATTAATAATGACAATAATAGTAATGATAATTATTTGAATCGACTGATTGTTTTTCGGAGCGAGAAAAGCAGTTGCCATAGACATAGAGTTCATCGTTTGTGTGTGGGCTGTGATACTGCCCGGGTGTCCAAACCGAAGCAGGTGGTTATCTTAGGGGGCCACTCCCCGAGCCTTTGACCTAAAGGTCTAACCCACAAGGCAGTGGAGCATCGTAAGGAGATGCAATCCCATTGCATAGACCATATTACCATCAGTCATCGTTACAGAAGTTCGATAAAAGACTGTCACTCATTCTGGAGTACCTGCTTGGACTCCGACCATGCCCTAATACGAGCACGCATCTGCTTGCGCCTCACTGGACGCGAAAAAAGCCACATTAAAAAGATCCATTGGAACTGAACTGAGCAACGAGAAAACCAAAAGTAGGTTCCAGGAACAACTGAGGTCATACTTAGGTAGTTCTGAAAACGAGGCAGACACAGATGTTGCTTGGAAAGCTATACAAACAGCTGTGGAAACAGCAGTGATACCTATTGGTGATTTAAACCACAGTTACAAAGAACCAATGAATTTCTTCAAGGTCTATTGCACTGATGGATTCTCGTAAACTCATCCCATCAGGTTCTGAACATGATGAAGAGCGTAAACAAATCAGATCTAGGTTAAGAAAAAGTCTAAGGAACGACCGTGAGCAGTGGTGGGCAACGAAAGCAAAAGAGATGGAAAAGACGGCGGCTATAAGGAACACAAGACAGCTCTACAGACTAATAAAAGAAACTGGAATTAATAAGTCAAGTGTAAGACTATTTCGGAAAAAGACGACACTCTCATCTGCTCCCAGTCCACACGTTTAGAACGATGGGCGGAACATTTTAGAGAACAGTTCAGCTGGCCTTCAGTTACTTTACAACTACCCTCCATTCTCAGACAATGTGAATGGAACATTGAAGTAGGTCCCCCAACTCAAAAGGCTATAGTTATTCTGAGACGAGGAAGAGCAGATGGTCCAGTTGGATTGGCTCCAGAGGTCTTTAAGGATGGTGGTCCAATTTTAGCGATTAGGTTGACTAATATCTTAGCTAAAATCTGGGAGTTGAACGTTATTCCATCTGACTGGTCACAATCACTTATCGTCCCAATATATAAGAAAGGGTCAAAATCATCCTGTGACAACCACAGAGGGATTAGTTTAACAAACATAGTATCTAAAATACTGGCCTCGATAATTATCACGCGCCTAACTAAGACTCGTGAACTACAAACACGAGAGAATCAAGCTGGCTTCAGACCTGGTCGTGGCTGCATCGATCACATATTCACCATTCGTCAGATTCTAGAACACAGGCATACTTATCGGCGTCCGACGATGGTGGTCTTTCTTGACTTGAAAGCAGCATTTGACTCTGTAGACCGCGAGATTCTGTGGCAGTGTCTGTCATTGAAAGGCGTACCTCAGAAGTACATAAACCTTGTGAAGGCTCTTTACTTGAACACTACTAGTCGAGTCAGAGTTTATGGCGAACTGTCATCTGGTTTTGCAACCTCAAGTGGTGTACGTCAAGGCTGTCCACTTTCTCCATTTTTGTTTGGCTTCATCATAGACCTATTGATGGAAATAACACTCTCGTCGACTGAACTCTCGGGTATTGATCTCCATCCAGGAGGTCCACTTATCGACTTAGAATACACAGATGACAAGACCCAGGGTATCAGGGAATGATGGTAAATCAGTTGTGAATCTTCATCGACTGAGATGGGTGGGCCATATGTTGCGTGTGCCTGGACACCGATTACCACGAAGTGCAGTTCTAACCAGTGCTGCAGATGGTTGGAAGAATGTTAGGAGCGGCCAAATCAAAACGTGGCATCAGTGCTTGAAGTCACTAACTTCTAGTCTGAGCCATGTTGGCAGATGCAGACTACTTGGTTGGGCTCCGCGTGACAATCGTAACCAATAGTTGGAGACTCTTGGTGACATGGCTCAGAATCGAGCACAATGGCGTCGGTGTATACACTCTCTGTCTTCCCTTAAACTAAGAGATTAAAATCGCTTCATATTTTTTCTTTCTATGAACTAATTCTTTCTCCGTGTATTATATCCTGATATACAATCTTTCTTTTATATATTATCCCCATTGAAGTAACTACTTCTATGAATCCGGTGTTCATCTTGCTTTGCTAATGCGGTATGGTAACTTCGACCGATGCATATATATACCTGGACGTGCGTTGTAGCTGACTGACTGAAGTAGTAAAGTATTAAACAAAGAAAAGCACTGCCGTTTAACGACACTAGACAGTTTTATAATGTAATTTGAGTCATATTTTATTAAGAGGACTTTTTATATAGGTTCCAATTTAATCATTAGTTGTTCTTACAAGTGAACCCTATCTGAAACTTAAGCTTATAAGATATTCTACAATAGATGATTTGTAGAATGTCTAGAGCTAATATACATATATATACATATGTGTAAGTTTTTCGTCAAGTGAAATATCACAATATGACTGTAATTATAGAAAAACAACAGTCGAACTGAAATTAACAGAATACAAAATTAATGCAGATCAGACGTTTGAGATGAAAAGTAGCGAACAAAGATCAAATTGGTTTCTCGAACACAAAATTTTCGTACTAATTCACGGTTCATCTTATTGACAAAATACTCTTGGGACTTCACAAAATATATGTATCAATCATGCTTACTGCTTTTAATAGAATCTTACTGACAACTCAATACACTTTTCTCGTTAAAATTTGGCGGCTCATTTTACTTAATAATTAATGCCACACTACAGATGCTTAATACCATTGTGAGGATGATAGTTTAATATAAAAACATAACGCTTGTTAAGTTGAAATGCAAGAAGATCAATTATTTTATTCTTTAACCTATAAACGTAAACCTGAACCTGTATAACCATTAGTATATTTTTTCACTTTCTTGCACAACCTATTTTTTATTCTTTATAAGTACGGGAAAATCCAGAACAAACACAAGCACAATGCAGTTAAAAAGCCTTAGCTCCCACACCATAACCTTAAAGTGGATATAACTATTGAATTCATTAATCTCAGAGAAAACGATAGGCTGCTTTCACAGAGGCAGGGCTCATAATCTTAAACGAACTACTTACCAAAGCAGACCAAAATTCAATAAGTAGTTTTCGTAAGTACCTTCAATTACATTTGTAAATCTACATGTATTTTCCAAAGCACATGCATTAGGTTTGTATTTACAAATTTCTAAAAAAGCAGGAAACCAAAAGGTACTATAGCTCTAAACACTGAATCGAAAATGAGGACATCATCGATGTGTTTCAATTTTTTGACATTCGACAATCATTCATTATGATAAAAATTGGAATCTGGCTTTATAAAATCTAAGCTGTAATCATGGTTTAACTTAGAGAATAATTCTCTCGGGTACGATGACAACCTATGGTTTAGTAAGAAAAATAACTAAGCAATGACTCCCACGTATCACTGACTAACAATCTTACCAGGTTATTAAAGAGTTCGGTGGTAATAAACAAGACTTTGATTTGAAGTGATGCAGATGAATATTCATAAAGACATTACTTCCCTAGATTCTGGAGACACTTTCAACTATGAAACATCAACTAGGACGAAACCCAGCTTGCACGCTTACTTATAGATTCAATAAGAAACACGTATTTGCAGTTACTAAAACAAATATGTTTGTACAGCACTAACACAAATAAGTCTTGGCATTTGCTTGTGAAGTCACAAACATGCTTAATATTCAATGGTATTTAACAAACTAGACGTCGACTGGTGACTTGGAACGGTTGGATCTAGAACCACAATGTAAAAGCCTATCTCTTCATTGTCTGAACTATAACAAATACAAAATGAATTAAATACATAAATCAATTTGTATCTAAGGTGTAAAACGTCAAAGATATTCAGAGTGAATAGATTTTTATAGCTATAAGTTACTTCGATTCCGACCTGAGACTATAATCAGATCCTTAGTTCAGTGGTTTAACGACAGAGTCAATAACGCCGACATATACTGGGAATGGCCCCATATAAAGTAGTGGTCAGCATATGGGGTAGCCATGTCAAACTTAGAATCAATCCATAGGGTGACTGACTTGTTATGAACAGTGTGAGCGTAAACTTCCTGATTGGGCTTTGTACCAAGATTATGATCACTAGCTGAAAATATTAAAAAGTACGAGCTGAAATCATTTGCAGTGTCTCAGGTCCATTCTTTCATTATATTATTCTGCATAACAAGTTTTTTACATTATTTTATACCTCATATTTCTACATCTCATTCGTTCTTTTAAGCTCTTCTCTATATTTTAGTTTTTACTACTGCTTTCCCCTCTCTGCTCTCATATGAAATGTAGTAACTTGAACCTAAGCACACCTGTGCAAGTTTTTTTTTATCTAATACTACTGACCGAGTAGGAAAAAAAGGGATCAAATTTTAAAAAGTCGGTACATAAATATCGGTTTAAGCGATTGGATCTCGAAGTCTTACGCATTCAAAGAAGAGTACGTGGACGGTAGTACTTGATTAGTGAGTTGCATTTAGATGAAATCCATGGTTCTTCATATACTTTACACCGTATTTTACTGACATGGATTTTAACGTACACACACACACACTGAAAGTGCAGGACATTATTTGCGTAATACCTAGCTAAAAAACCCAAGGTGACAGTGGAAGTACAGTTTTTACTTGGATAATGATAACACAAGTGAACAAGAACATGGATATTTAATTTTTCAGTAAATTAGGACAACATTTCATCAGTTTAAAGTGACAGAATATTCACTAACATTAAAGTCATTTTTCTGGAACATTTACTCGACTGGATAAAAATTATGCGTCTGACAATTTAGACACTATTTCTTCACATCCAGCTTTTAAGTACTTGCAAAGTCGACAGACAGGTAAACCAACAACATTGAAATAATCTCCATCGATTCGCTCAATTAAACTTGAACCTAACCCCTGAATACCATAAGCTCCAGCTTTATCCCTGAAATAGGATGATGAGGATTGTAATAATTAATGTGATGAAAAAACTTAAGTAATTATCTGAAGGATTAAAACAGATAAGTAGATCTATAAAAGTTTTCGGCAGCTGATTTGAAGCAAAACTTAAGGGAAGATTGAGAATGAATCCAACTGAGACATCATCCAGGAACAGCTACCAGCTTCAGCTGTAGATGTAGTGCGTATACTCCCTACTGTTCTGTCAGTGTTGGTCAGGAAATCTCTATCTTCTAACATGACACAGACCAAACGTTAATGACTTTATGTGATAGTGGTAGGTTGTGAGCGACCTAACAGTGGCTTTCTCTTAACCTACTTTTATACTGGTTAGTGATGTATGCCAGAGTAAGAGGTGACTAGGGATGAGTAAAACGTGTTTCAAATACATACAATGGTGACATTTTATAGCCTTATCAGTCGATTTCCACCCCTCACTTAGCATATTATTGATTAGTAATTTCGCTAGATTCAAACTACAATTAGAAAATACCTACATGGTCAAGTGCTTGCAGTGTGCTCGTTTTACTTCCACTGATCATTTTTACAATAAATTGTTAGTTTCCAAATAGTTGATTGGGATTAAGTTATATAACACAGGCTAGCACAATAAGACATGAACCTAGTCATACTACCTATTTGTGACAATTATGTATTCTACTGTCTACTGATATGAAACAGATAATACCTATTTAGCAGTTAAGTAACTTATCTCAAACCGTTAGAGAAAATAGGTAACTGTTACCACTAATCTATGTTGCTCTGAAATGAGAATTATGCTTGTAAAATCATAATTACTCCGCCTGGAGACATACATTGGCTCTCCAGACTGAACATATCCCTCAATAATGAGAGGACTTAATTCAATCATCTTTACATTTGTTACTTCATGAAATTGATCAATTTTCTGTTCTTTCCCAGATACAATCCACTTTAAACATACACCGGTTATCACTTGGTGAACATTTCCACTCAAACTACAAATGTTATAGATTAAGTGTGTCACAAACCGACTAAGTGTATTTACAGCATCCACGTGACTTGATGGTTTTCCAAAAATATAACCTTCAAAACATACCACAGTATCTGCTCCTATGACTACATAGTTACGCTTTCATTAATACGAACATAAAAAAGTAAACAAACTTTACTGATATCCAAAGTATTCACCACTGCATCCACTTTAAGTTTAGCTATGGCTTCGATATGAGCTGGTATTAATTGAAAGTTTTCTGAAGGCAGTGACTCTTCAACATCAGGACAAACAGAGGAGAACTTTAGACCCTAAATATAATGATTAATTAGTCAGATAAATGAATTACAATGTTTCCAAGTATTTCTTTTCGACGTGTTGAAGTGCTGGCTAGTATAATTTCTAGGGATTTCAAGTCTTCTTTAAGGGAGCAAAGCATGGCTAACAAAAACAATATTGAATATCTCTCTCTTTACATGATGATATTTCAATATGACAAGAAAATCAATCCAAAACTATACTATTTCTAAACTGACATCAGACGCTACAAGGATAACCTTGGAGAATACAAATTGAGTCTTTCGCAAGTGTATCGTATTATTCAATGAAACCTAACTGTTGTACTAGAACTTCTAAATCGAGTTTCACTGATATATTTCAAGTTACTTTAGGTTTTAGAAAGTCACAAAAATAAGGGAAGTGGTAGACGGCAGCTATCTGCCTATTCTTTAAACTGAGTATTCACATACCTTATCACAGTACAGTGCGATCCTCCGTCTCAATAGCTTACGAGACGACTTACCGAGTTATCTGGTAAAAATCATTGTAATGGAGAACCACAGATCTTCAGAGACCTCATGTTTCATAAATATCACATCCTGAAGTCCAAAAACAACTGAATATCCCCTTTAAGTGTTCTCTGAGCCATAACTAATGTAGTTACTTCCCGTTCGCCCGTGGTTTGGAGGCAAGGTTTTTATTGAGCAGGTTTCCTCCCGACACTTCTATATTTCACTCGCTCCTTATTACCGAATGCGCATTGACGGAAATCTTTATACATTCCAACTCTCCACTTTGCTTCAAGCAGGCGTTCAGTAGCTTGCTTTATCTAGGAGATTCTTTCAACCGAACCATATCTGTATAGACATCATTCTGAAGAGACTTGTGGACACTTGACTAAAGCTGCTACCCTAGCTTAGTGGTTAGGTTTACAAACCTTCATGGTGTAAGCTGAATAAGTTGACTGGACAGAACTTTCCTTTAGGTCTTACCATATCAGACTGGTTATTCATAGATCGGTAACACTAAAGCCAATATTTTTCAAGTTTCGGTTTCAGATTTGTGTAGTAAGGATTAAAGGCCTACGGCCTATCTCAGTCTTTTTCTAGTAAGCTTCTTTGAGTGTCTAGTCTTCTCTCGAATGAGTCAGTTAAAGGTGCGGACACCAATGTTTCGAGTAACAGGTTCCATGAATTGATGACTTGGTGTGAAAACTTGTATGCCACGGGTAGTTTGTCCGTTCTTGACTTTTCTACTCGTCTGATACTATCTATGAGATGTTCCAATCTAGTGGGAAGAAAGAGAGACGATATAACAAGTCGAAAATCCTTTTCTAGTATTCTGTACATCAAAATCAGGTCACCTATTAATCTGTGGTAGAACGGAGTAGAGGAGTTTAACCTTACAAACCACTTTTTGCATGGTAAACTTGGGAGTTCTGAAATTGCACGGGTGGCTGCCCTCTGTATGATTTCCAGGATCCGCTCCCTTTCGTGACTAGGTTGGAAATCGAATGCTGTGTCCTTGTTCTATGGTTTATGTACGAGAACAGTCTCTTAGGTTGCTTTTTATTACAGATTGGGCCAACTGCTTTTCATATTTTTGCTGAACTTCCCTGATTGAAAGTGTACACTTATTTCGTACTGACTTGTAGTGTTTCGCCGTACTTGCTGTGTCAGTACTGATGGCAACATTCCTAGTAAACGTCGAATATCTCGGCTTATCCAGGGATGGACGTGCTTCTTCTTCTTTGGGACAGTCCAGAGTGTAAACGGCTCAATTACATAATTGTATAACTGCCATAAATGTGTCCATGCCTCTTCTACGAATGAACAAGTAAATTATCCAGTTTTCAGCCGAGGCTACAGAGTTGATTGCCTTCATGCCTGCCATTCATATGTTAGGACGGGCAGGCGCAACTGTTTGACAGGCAATCTCAGCCATGGAGTTGAATAAGATAACTGCATGATCACTTCTTCCTAGAGGTAGGATGAAATTTATTTGACTGACATCATCACCGTGTGTGAAGATTTGATCCAAGAAAGATGAAGAGTTTTGTAATTCATAAAGTTTTTACCTCTTATTACACCAGGGCTTAAACTTGCTTGGGAGGAAGTCATCTATCAAATATTCTGGACTGCAATGTACTACCACAAATTCAATACCTTGCTATTTACATTTCAGCTTGCAGAGCAACATTTTGCATGTCCCTGAATCGTGTGCCACCGTCTAGACATCTCGTATGGTTAATGTAACTTTCGCGTGCAAGATAACCTTACCACCCCTACGGTTTAATCTGTTAGCCATACTATGTAAGAAACCAGGCGATTAGCATGCACTGTCATGTACTTCTGACTTGGATAATGCTTCTGAGATAGCAATAACATCAGGGTTTTCTGTGTCTACCACTGTTTTGGGTTCCCCCATTTTATTAGGTAGTCTGCGAGCATTTGTATAACATACTTCACTTCTATGAAGAACTTTCTCATACCACCTAGAGTGATTTGGGGATCTTTTTGCCCTGAATATTTAAGATTTGGAAACTTTTAAGTATAAGGTTTATTCACCGTTCTGGTGTTGCTCATTTATTTCTACTTCTGGCAATCGTCTCGAGATCCTCACAAACATATATTCCGAGTCAAGTGATTATACCCGAATTTTCTTCACCAGAAACAAAAGGTAAATTTTAGGATATGTGGTAAATCTTTTGACTGAAGTCTTGTTTCAGTTTTCTATGTTCTTTTAGTAGCCCCTAGGCAATATATACACGGCAACTTGAACACTTGAGAAAAGGCGCGAAAGAACGCTTTACTCAAAGGTCAGTTTGTGCACAGGAAAACGAGGGTATTTGCAGAATTTCAGATTGTCTTATGCTTCTGGAAAGCCCTGAAATATTTCTAAACATAGAAACACTCAGTAATATGACACATGACACCTCCCTTTCTAGATGTTTCCGAGAAGCTTCTAGTCAATGCTGATTGAATTAAATGTTTCCCAGTGTTTTCAGGGCCCTCTAGTCTTTTTCTGGGTCTCCCCAATAAGGTGGAATTTCTGCGTACTTTCAGAATCAATTATTTTTCCTACTCTACGAAACTTATGGATGCTAACACCTGGATATAACTTGCTTATTAAGGACTTAGTCTGGCCCAGATAGTGTTTAAATCTGGCCTTTGGTTTCGTATTGGAAGACTCTCTTGATTTATGAGAAATGACTGACATTTCATTATGGTTTGTCTTTGAAGTTCCTTTTCCTACAATCTACTCATGCCTGCAGCCCGGTTTGGCGTCAGACGCGAATGTCTCATTCTGTCTCTGTACTTTTCTGAGTGCAACTGTGGACCAATCATTGGTCGTGTTATATCTCTTGATCAAATCATTTAGACCACTCAGGCTGTGCTTCCCCATTAATCTATTAAGCGCCGATATGGGTATCTATAGCTGAAAACGTTGACTAACATACCTTGGAGTCCCATATACTATGTTTCTTCTTAGCGTGATTTTTCCTTTTACTTGTAACCATGCATTCGTTATCCGTTACGTTATTGTTGTCCACCCTTATGGTTTCATTCAAATACAAAGCTGGGCTCATTATAACAATCTCTGCTTCCTCAAAAACTGAAAGCCATCATCTACTTCTGGCCGTTCAGTCACCTCAAAAGTTGGCAGAAACTTTGTAGAACGGCATGCTTTGCGCAGCCAGTGTGATCGTGACTTTCAACAGGTGTGAGTCTGGTGCATACGTTGTGATAACACTTGTTTCAGCTGTTACTTTGTATTCCATCATCGGCCAGGAAATAGCATGCTTCAAAGGTTATAGATACTGAACACAAAGAGGTGAGATTTGTGTGTAACCGTTACAGAAAAATCCGGCTTAAATAAAAGCGAAAAAAACTTTTCACCTCTGGATACAATCAGAACTAGAAGATTTATTTGAAGAAGAAAAGTACCGTTGCTCTTTTTTGTTTTGCTCACGAAACGAATTTTGCACAAGTTCCAGAGTTTCGACAGCATGACCATAAGTATGGTGGCAGGAAGATGTTTCCCCAACACAGCCATAATTCAGAGCGATACTACCTCCTCCTATTAAAAGGGAGGGGTTGGAAGAGGTCGACCCTACAAATAGCTTAACTGACTTCCCACCATGGATTTCAGGTCGACGACGGAAAACTACCTATAGTGCCCAACTAACGCACAAGCATTCACCAAATTAAGGCAGTCCACATCGATTAAACACTTGTTGTTTTGGAATGAATGTTTGTAACGGTGAATGCAAACAGTTGTTTTGCAGGTAGTGCCTAGTGGTGTCCAATGAAACAGTAGAACATTTCTACTTGCATTATTCTTAGAATTCTTCACGACTTACGACCAATCAAACACTGTTTGACTAATGAGATAACTGCCGTTCGATGTAATCCCACAACCCCCTACAAACCCACTCATAATCCAGTTATATCAGTCAAGTTACCGACCAAGTTATGTCGTTAGATCACTTGGACTACTTCAGCTGAGCAGGGAGTTAGACTCATTTCGGGATATCAAAGATAAAAAACCGTCCCTTATCATCAAGACGTCATCACAAACAGATATGTTAGTTTAAACTTGCTGGTTACAGTGGCATTAGATACTACAGGTGGAGCAATAATGACAAATAAGTAGGAAAGAAGGAAATGATGTCAGGGATGAAGACGGGAAGATGCATGTAATAGTGTCTTACTACATACAGTCAGTCACCCTGGTAGTCCATGGATATATATATTATTGTTCGGCTGTTCTTCGAAGCACTTTTGAAATGGCTGTGATTACATTGGACGAGATAGAGTTCAGAAAGAGACAGATTTACAGCGCCAAAAGAGAGACATTATCCGGTTTCTTGTTCATCGACAACCAATAGTACACAAGTTTCCTCCCAGATGGCCGTGGAAACCCTTAGTTAAGAATGTCTTATAGTAGACTATGATGTGAACGGAGCAGTAACCTGATTATCAAAGATGAATTCCGAAACGAGACCCCTTTTTCCACGTGATGTTATGCAAAACCTCACCACAAAGTTATGCAGAACTGTTCAGCCGAGACTGATATATTCATCTGCGCCATTTAAATTTTGTCTACAGTTCATGAGGTATGATTATTCATATGCACAGTTAGGGAGATGCCATTTAGTCCAGGAAGCATTCTAATTCCTGACCTCAATGGGGATACTAACCTTCAACCAATAGAAGAATCTAAAAGACGCCGCGCATTACTGTCTGGCGAGAATCATCTCATTCGACTGACAGGATGGTAGTGTTCTTAAAAGGATGCAATGGCTCGTCCACGTCTATGGGTCAGTGGTACGTAAGCAGTAGTGTTCTCAAATATTTAATTTTACCAAACTGCAGTCAGTTCTTCATAATATTTTGTATCATGTATATTCGGATGATTGTTCACTTATGGAAGCATTAAATGACAAGATGTTACCATTTCGAATAAGAGATTATGAAATCCCCAAGTCTGAAAATTCTATTGCTTGATTGGGGAGAATGTAGTCCAAGCTAGTGCTTATCTGTGGAACCTCCAGCGAGCATATTGTGTTACATTTTCAGGCGGACAGGATTCCGCTTTGAAGTCCATTTCAGTAACCAGATAAGGATTATCAGCAAGTGGAGAAAGATTAGGAAACTTGGGGTTGAATATTTCTGTATATGTTATTTGCTTGGTATGTTGTGCACTACACTGAAGTTAAGCTCTATCTAATGAGTTAAGATATTAGGCAGACCGACTGGCTTCCCATCCTGAACACCCATGGATATTCTCTACAATACCTGCTTAAGTTCAGTCTCATTATCGAATTCTGAATATCCGAATATCATGACACAACCCTAAACTGGATTGTAGACACATGTTTTCATCTCTTTTATTAGGAAACTCTCGAAACCGTTCACCAGATGAATTTGTCCAATCAAATCCTCAGGAGTCCCACAAGAACTACCCCTTAGTGTGGCAGTGACGACCCCAAGACGTGACCTGTCAGAAGTTTAGGCTGGATGAGTTTGACGTTGTTAAGTACTCTTCTAACAGCTTGCTATATTCAGCAGTACCTGGTCGTTTTCACCCAATAAGAGGGGCAATGTGGCAAAATATAGCAATGAAAAAAAGTAGGGTGAAAATTTCCATTAGTCGATTTTTCATCTTTTTTAGCTGCCCGGAAAAGAAGAATGAAATTGAAAGTGCATGTTAAAATACATTCGTCATGACACAAAACGTACGAAGAAAAAAATTGACTGGTTTGCATGTGTATTGATAATATGCGATAACAATAAACTTTATTCGCACATAACAATGTGTTACACGGGACATGCCAGTTTACAGACAAGATCAAATTGTTACAAGTGGTACAGGATTTATTTTAATCAGTCACACAGTTAGGGTTGATATATTATGGGACACACTGGTTACAGAAACAGGGATTAATTTTCATACATCAGGACATAATTGTTAGAAAGGCTAATGCCCAATATAGGAGTTTCGCGTTTTGTGGATGTTGAAGTGCGACAAGCGACTGGCGGTCATGAATGAGTGCGATTAAAGTCTAGAAGTATTTATAATAACAAGTGACGCCGTAAGTGCATGACCAGTCAGTCAAAGATGTCAAAGTAAAGGTATAATTTTGTGCTCCTTGATTGTTATCTAAGATGAAATTCGGAGACATTAGTGATGAGATAGGACGAAGTGTAAAACATTTTGCACAGTGAATGACTTTGGATTTTTTAAAGAGCAGAAAATACGCGTATATATATATATATTGACACATCAGTACAAACAAGCGAAGTAAAACGAAATGTCGGGCAGCATCCCACGCATAATATTTGTTCAAGCGTTCTAGAAAACTTACTCTTCTTTAAGGGCGCGTTGTCGGCGAGGTAGCAAACTTCTATCATCACATCAATGATGTGCAACAGACGGCTTTGTTTGCCGTTAACACGCTCCTGGCGGGGACTTTGATCAAAGATTTTTCGTGACAGGTGGCTTGGAGCTTGGTAAACTGCAGGGTTTTCTACAATTTCAGGAGGACTTACCATACATTTTGTGGTACCAGCATTAATCAGGATTATCTGACTGTCGTAGTTTAGAGACATATTTTTCGCGAAGAGCTTCCTCGACGTTTTAAAGAGCTTCTATTATTATGATGCATATTTGGATGCCGTGTGAGAGTATGGCAGAGGTTGGTAACGTCATTTTTTGTCACGTTAGACTTTTATATTACGGAGGGAGCGTCGGCGCTTGCTGTTCTGGAGATCTTCGGAGCCCTATAGACAAATCCACCCAGTTCATCCACGGCGTTATTTTAAAATGAGATGAGAACCAGCTTCACCTGTTGGGGAAACCGATACAAGAAAAGTTGTCTAAACAGGACTTCAAAGAAGGTACGCTAACTGATGACCTCCCACATACGTAGCGACACTTCTGTTACTGAGCATGTTGTAGACAGAAGCTTTGGAAGAATTGGTTGTAGATCACCAACGTAGATGATCTATGTTGAAAATGATTGGAGGCCTACTCGGGTTAGACGTGAATGGTGTGACGAATAACTAACGTTGAAGTCACACCTCGTGGTCAGCACCTTACGTGGACTACCCCTGTTGACGTATCAAGGTACTATAGATGCTTTGAAGACTGTACAACACAAAGGACGTTATTACAGAAATATATTAGTTAAAGTAGATACAATCGAAAGTAAGACCACTACCGCATGGGCCAATCCATGGCATACGATTAACTAATGCGCGTTGGTTGTACATGACCTTGGCAGGGAGCGATGATCTGTTCGACATTCACTGATCCAACTGCCGGATGATTTGGCTAGGCTCAGTGACATTTCACTGGCCCTACATGGTCTAACCCTTGTCGGTCAGTCAGGTCTCCACGTTAAGGACTGGTTTTCTTATAAGTGTCGTAACGCTCAGAGAAGTCACTAGTAAACACACTAGGCGTGATGCACCTGTTAACATCGTTTGGGAGTGTCTTTACCACAGCGAGTACTTGTGCACGTGGTCTGTCGCAGTGCTCGTGTGCGTCAGATTCTGTATAGTGAACCAGTCTTATATATTGTTGGGTCAGGATAGTATGAGTTGAAGGCTGGGAGGCAAGAGAGTTCTAATCCTAAATAACATAGGTGTCTGTCCCATCACAACGAGGGTGACCCGTACAAATAGGCGATAAAATATTCAAACATACAGGAACAATACCACTAAATGTAGGAATAAAAATGTGATATCCAATGTCCTAATAAGGAACAGACTCACAGTTTATTGTTCGATGTACCGGTTCACATCGGACTCACAACTAAAGATGCCACATGATTCGGAGCTTTATAACGTCTTTACACGTGACATCTTTATAATCGAATTATAGCAACCCATTCAAATCAGGTGTCAGAAGTGTAGTGGTTGGAAAATATATTTGGAAAGCTATCGATGTGTTGGGAAGTGTTTGTAGTGAGCTGTGTATCAGTCACGAGGAATGCATAGCACAGTGTGCTTACTCGTGATATAGTATAGTTGCGTGGTCAAGCGTCTTCAGCCAGATGTGTCCAGTAAAGCTGTGTCAGAATCCACTGTTAAGGTCTTGCAGAAACATTTATTTAGAGGAGTTACTTGCCACAACAAGACCATACTTAAATACAGATATCTGTATATATATCAAGTGCAATTGAGTCTGTCTCGAGGTAGCTTTTGTTTAAACATCTCGACATAATTTATTATAACTAATAGGTTTTGCGGCGTAGTTTGAATATATTAAGCCGATCATTAGTTACACATTCAGTCAGAAGAAGCCTTTAATTTTAAATTATCGTTTTTTGGATTGGATTTATATTTTAATTGGTCAGCTGAAAGCTAATTGGGCCTCGAACGTATACTCATCTAGTCACGGGATTGCCGTTAACGGCGATTTTAACCAACTGATCTACTTGTTCATTACACGAATTTATGGTTTTCAATAGTTTGCATTTCGTTTGACCATTAAGTACTTTTCTTCCGGTAAATTGTCTGTGTGTGTATAAGCGTTCGATTAAAAAAGGGCAGTGTTTTTTGAACTTGTGATTTTCCTTGCTTTGTATACTTTTGCATCAAAAAGCATTCTTGGTCTACTTTAACTAAAAGTACTTCGGTTAATGTTCGAAATTTTTGCTAAACTTTGTCCTGTGGTACCTTTTTTACTTATTGACTGACACTCGTGTTCACATTGTGATCATATTGTGTTTTTAAACCTTTTTAATCAAATCACATTGGTTAGTAAGACTTATAACTGTGGACAACCAAACTGCTTGTTCACCGTTGAGGAAGGAATGCAGTGCGATGAATGTGAAAAGTGATACCATAAGATGTGTACACGTCTAAGTCCTACGGCATACAAAAATGCTCGAAGCCTAACTCGCATTGGCTTTGTATGTTTCGTTGTACAAATAGGAAGTTACTAATCCACAAGGCTATGAGCCTATTGGCTTTAACCTGTTGCGCTGATAACACGATCACTGACGGTGACGAATGTGTCAGTGTAGTACGTGCTGCTACCGGACCCGTTAAACATCCGACTGTGATTGACGGGAAAGTGAAATCTCCGTTAACATTAACGAGGAGTGAAGTGCCGTTTGATATTGACATTGGTAATCATACACCTTCAGTGGAAATTGAAGACCCGGATAAAACTGTTACCGTTCCAAATAGCCCCGGTGTGGCTGTACTGAGTGATGATAAATGGACTTCAGTACGGAGAGAAAAAAATGAGAAGAAAAAAGCTGTAGGCGAAAAGCATCTGGTTATCAAGTCATTGGAAGAGACGGTATGAGAAACAAAAGCTCCACTGCGTGTTAAGACAGACCTCTCTGAGTGGTCAGTCATTTTTCATAAGTTAAGAGAATCTTCAGATAAGGAACCAAAGGCTAGATTTGAACACGACCTCAGTCATATTAAGTCCTTAATAAGCAAACTACCCCCAGATACAGTTCCAGGAGTTAGTATTTGTAAGTTTTATAGAATAGGACAAAAAGTGGATTCTGAAAGTCCTCAGAGAAGCCGCCTCTTGAAAGTTACATTTTCCACGGTTGAAAAAAGGAACCTGATTCTAGGTAACTCACGTAAACTGATCGGATCCGGAATATACTTCCGTGAGGATCTCAGCCTAGCCGAGCGTATTAAGAGATGAGCTGCAGAAGTGGAAATAAATGAGCGTCGTCGAAACGGTGAAAGCAACCTCGTCCTTAAGGGTTTCAAATTGTAAAAGTTCGAGGCAAAACGATCCCCAAACCACTCTGGGTGGTAAGGGAAAGTTCTCCACAGATTTAAAGGTATGCTAAACAAATGCTCGCAGCCTACTAAATAAAATGGCGGAGCTTAAGTCAATGGTGAATAAAGAAAAACCGGATGTTATTGCTGTCTCAAAAACTTGGTTAACGTCAGAATTATTAGATAATGAAATTCAGTTGACTGGTTTCCTAACCAGTAGGGCTGACAGATTAAACTGAAGGGAAGGCGGGGTTATCCTGTACACGAAAAGTACCCTAACCATAAGAGTAGCTGAGACAGTGGCACATGTTTCAGGAACACGTGAACTAGTGCGATGTATGTTGAAATGTAGACGGGAAGATATTTAATTAGTTATAGTATATAGCATTCCAGAACGTGTAACGGATGATTTTATCCAAAGTAAACTTCAGTTCTGGTGTAACAAGGGTAAAAGCCCTGTAGTAGGCGTCTTTAATGCACCGTACATAAACTGGGTTAACTTAGAAGTAGGGTAATCGATAACGTCGTTCGATTGCAAACTGTTAGAAACCTCGATTGGATTAGCTTTATTCCAACACATTAGAAACCCCACAAGATATGACTTAAGGAATTCTTCTTCTCTTTTAGATTTAGTCTTCACACACGGTGATGACATTGGTCAGATGACTTTTCTCCTACCACTAGGGAGAAGTGACCGTGCAGTCATATTATTGAAATTCATGGCTGAGATTGCCTGTCAAACAGTTGCACCGGCCCGTCCTAATATATTGAAGGCTGATATGAATGCAATCAACTCCACAGCATCGGCTGAAAACTGGGAAATTGACTCAAGGGCATCAGTACAAGAGGCATGGACTCTTTTCAGGCAGTTATACAATCGAGTAACTCAACCATACATACCCTGGACAGCTCCAAAGAAGAAGAAGAAGCACGGCAATCCCTGGATAGGCCGGGATATTCGACGTTTACTAGGACAAAAAAAGAAATGTTGGCATCCGCCTTGGCTCAGCAGGTACGATGGAACGCTACAGATCGGTAAGAAACAAGTGTATAACAAAATTTCTGGAAGCTCAAAGAAAATATGAAATGCAGTTGGCACAATCTGCACTCAAGCAGCCCAAGAGAATATTTGCGTACATAAACTACAGAACAAGGATGTTACATTGGATTCCAAACCTAATTAAAAAAGGGAGTGAATCTGAAATGATGGATGAAGATCAGGAAAAAGCAGATTCTATGGTTGACTATTTTGGGGCAGTTTACACTCAGGAACCTCCTCTAGACAAAGAAACGGATCAAAATAAAGAGTCAACAAACCACCTGCTTACTGTGGGCTTCGATCAAGACGATGTGCTTAAGGCTCTTAGCACCTTAAACATGAAAAAGTCAACAGGACCAAATGAACTACACCCCAAAATCTTGAGACATATTGCACAATATATCGCGGCCCCACTGACTTAGATATTCAATATGTCACTTGACCAAGGTGTGTTTCCTATGGACTAGAAGGACGCGATCGGCACTCCCATACATAAAATAGGACTAAGACAACTTCCATCGAACTACAGACCTGTAAGCCTCATCAGTGTTGTAGTTAAAATATTGGGAAGAATATTTAAACGAACCATAATGGCATTTATGGAAATCAATAACTTGCTAAACATAGAACAACATGGTTTTAGAAAGGGTTTATATTATACAACGAACCTCTTTATAGCAAGGGAATTTTGGATAGAGGCGCTAGGCAACGGAAACTCAGTGGATTTTGTCTACATAGACTTCAGTAAGGCTTTTGACAATGTGCCAACTAATAGACGGCTATTGAATTAGGAAAACCTTGGTATTGCCGGACCTCTTTTATAATGGATTAGGGATTTCCTAGTAGGTCGTAGACAGAAAGTAAGAATAAATTCCAAGTGTTCCATCTGGAGACCAGTACTTAGTGGAGTACCTCAAGGTTCCGTCCTAGGTCCTTCATTTTTTATAATGTATGTTAGTGATCTTCCAAGTATAGTACAGTCTCTAATGTTATTATACGCTGACGATGTAAAGATCTGGCGAGTAATAACTGGAGACACAGACTCATGTGTTCTTCAGGCAGACCTAAATAATGTGATTAACTGGTCTAAAGGGTGGCTGATGCCTGTAAACGCGGCAAAGTGTGTCTACATGCACTTTGGGGATTCAAAGGTTAGTAGGTACAGCATAAGGGAAGTTCCATTATCCGTGGTCCGGTCTCATAAGGATCTGCGGGTGACAGTGAGTCATGATCTTAAGACGACGGCCCATTGCCGGGAGGTCGTAGCTAAGGGTTTCGAACCCTCTGGGCTTTAAAACGAACATTCACTAAGTTAGATACCACCATGTCCACTACAGTATACACATCCTTAGTGAGAACTGCGTTCGGGCTGCAAACCCTGTTTAAAAGGCGATTCGGATATCCTAGAGAAAGTACAGAGGGCAGCTACCCGTGCAATTTCAGAAATCCGGGGTTTACCATACAAAGAGCGGCTTGAAAAGCTGGACCTCTTTACTCTGTCCTGTTGCAGATTAAGAGGAGATTTGATTTTGATGTACAGAATACTGAGAAATGATTTCGGACCTAATTTATTCTCTCTTTTCTTCACACTAGATCGGGACATCTCAGAGGACATAGCAGGCGAGTAGAAAAGCCAAGAACGAACAAACTATCCGTAGCATACAAGTTTTCACACCGAGTCATCAATACTTGGAACCTGCTGACCGAAGCAGTGGTGTTCGCACCTTCAATTGACTCTTTCAAGAGAGGACTGGACACTCACAGAAGCATACTAGAAAAGGAATAACACAGGCCGTAAGCCTTCTGTCCTACTACACAAATCTGAATCTAAAATCTTTAGAATTTTCAGCCATCATGATAGCAAATATCCTTAGTTGAATCAAACTTAGTATTATGGGCTTTGTGAAAACGCATATTTTCACTGAACAATTTGATCAGTGTATCTGATGTCATTTGTCCAGTCATGATATCTTATCCGACACAAGGTGAAGCTGCTGATAAGTTAATACTAACGTCAGGAGAAAAGTTTTAGATAGTGATAATAACTCGGTTGATGTGTTTTTGAACTTTCATTGAATGATTTTGTTCGATTGTATGTTACACGAGTTCAATCAACGCTTTGACATGTTATATTTGTTAGGATTTCACTGAGATGAAGATAGTTCGAATCATGGTAGTCATGAGAGAGTCCTGGTACTCGGTTTTGTGCCATTTATTTGTGTTTAGGGAGGCATATCTGCAACTTTGATGGGACCGGTGCTTCCTATCACAATCGAAAGCATGACAAGCAGTGCTATAGTCTAAAATGTTATGACCGGGATATTTTGATCACGATAGGACTCTCATAGGACTGGAATGTTACAGAATCTTATGTTTTTCGTAAGTAATATTGACCTGAAAGACTATAATCTATTTAGATTTATTCATATGTACACATCACCTTGTCTTATTCACAGAAATATATAGGTAGGAACGTTTTTTAAAGCCTTAGGTTTTAGAAATTCAAAGAATGCCTAGTCATATATTCCTTCAAATAAAGCATACTATGGGAATCTCAATAAGCGATTTTGTTATATATCACTCTCCCCCTTCTTCAGTAATAGTTTCCTTATCTATACAGAAGCATTTTATTTAACGAACAAATCGATGCAACCTAGTATTTTTTTAAAGTTTTACATGCATCCACAATGGGAGATAAAAAATAAGAACGAAATCGTCTGTTTATCTGCAAAATACCTCTTTAGTATATAATACATTCATCGTAAGTGTTACATGTATTTATTTTAGCACATTTTGTCTTGGAAAGCTAAAAAGGAATGCCGTGCAAGAATAAGAATGTGAAGTTAGTCTTAAATGATTTATAGAAAGGAACTGGAAGACTTCATTTGACTCTTACTGTTACAAATAATGAACTTGTAAGCGTTATAACACAGTGTTAGCGGGACATAGACCGGATTAAAGTATGCTCAATGTACGATTGCTTTGCTGCACGCTGATTGGATAAGAATTAGCCGATCAGCGTTAGTCAATATTTAGCGAACACTAGAAATCTTCACATGTGAAAAACTATAAATATACTAACGTTTTCCCTATTGCACTTGCTTGCTTCTTACTTCCATCTAACCTTGTTATTTAGAATATAATCTCTTTCCTGTTCAACCGTGTTCTGATTTGGGGACTTTTCGAGTGAATCGGTGTCCGAGAATACTAAGCAATAGGAATAGCTGGGTTATAACCGTAAGAGAGAATTATAACACACAGATTCCATCTAAAATGTATGAGCATTAAGTTTGACGGGGGGGGGAGAAAATCGAAAGTGTAACTTTTCAGTGAATTATTCCACTATTTCAAGATTGTCAACATAACGATGATGAAAATATCAAGACCTCACTTCTAGGTATTTTGATCATAAACTTACAACCTTTTAAATTGTTACGATGCATTTTTGTCATACTTCTTTGATTTTTTTTTAGTAGTACAACCCTTAAAAAAAGCACATCAGAATGATAACTCAAGCAAATAGAAAATAAAATACACAAAGCAATGCCAGATTACTGTCATGAGGAGAATTTAAAACAAACAGAGAGTGTTACTATGCATGAAGCCAATAAACATTATCCTAATGATCCAGGACTAGATGTAGCTTCACTTAAAATCATTGAGTTATCTAAAAAAATTAGAGAATTGAATGCTTCACTTGTGAGTGAACGAAACAAATGTAATAACTTATATCAAATAGTCAGAAAGTTGGAATCTGAATCGGTTAACTCATCAAACAAAAATGTTCTATGTAGTTTATGTAAACAGAACAACATCACAACGAACGAAAACATTGAAAACATATCAGACGATGCAGAACAAGAGGAGAAGAAGAACAAGAAGAAATTAAAGAAGCTAGAATCTATTGTTATGGAATTACGTCAAAAAATTCAAACCTTAAATCATGATTTATTATTAGCTAAAAAAGTAATCGAATCAGAAACTGGTGAACTGATACCAAATTTAAATAGTTGGTTAATAAATTTAAAGCTAAAACCCGATGGAACATATGGAAATTGGCGTGGTCGACAACAACAAATTATTGCATTAAAAAATCGTATTACAAAATTACAATCACAACTTACTTTAAAAGCTTCTTCTCATACAGAAAATTTCAGTTGTAAAGAGACTATGGAATATGAAACATTTTCTGGTGCAACATTATTGGATATTCATTCATTTCAAGATAATAATGATGATAATATGACTTTTAAATCATCTAAACTGAATTCCATCATTGAACAAAATGATTATAGAACAACTAACCTTATTCAATTACAACATGATAAGAAACAATTAGAAGAAGAGATTAATTTAACTAAAAAAAATCTACAAAAATTAAATTACATCATCACCATTTATTACAAGAACAAAAAGAATTAAAACAACAAATTTTATTTTTAATCAATAAAAGTAAACATGATAATGAATTAATTGAATCATTAATTCAACATAGAAATAATTTACAAAATGAATTTAATAAAATTAATCAAATGAATATTGAAAAAACGAATGAAATAGAAAAATTAAATGAAGAACAATCGAATTTAAAACAAATAAAAGATGGAGAAATTAAAAAATTAGAAGTAAGTAAAATATTTTATGATCAGTTTAAGAGATTGTGGAGATTGTAAAATTCTTGATTGAGATCATGAACCGATTAATGATGTTGGATCAGTATTGAAAACCTAGAAGCATTGGATGGTCGTTTTGTTCTGTTGTGGAACTCTTCAGCAGTGCGCATCCATGATCCTGCTCGTGGGATTCGAATCTAGGACCTATCAGTCTCACGCGCGAGCACTCAATCTCTAGACCACTGAGTTGGCCCGCATCCAATGGTGTTAATATCTAACTTCAACTAATCCAAGAGATTGAGCGACACATCCACCATTGTTTTCTGTGAGTTACTATCTCACAACAGAGCTGGTTGAATTCCACTGGTTATTGCTTGTCACTAGAACTCCAGGCATGATATCCGTCTACCAACCAAACGATGGGTTTACTGCGCAGCAGTTCGTTCCATCCTACTTTATGGCAATGAAACATGGCTGGTGAGAGTAGAGAATATTTGTGGGTCACTAGTATTTGATCATACGTGTCTTCAAAGCATTGCTCGTATATCCTAGGATCAACGAGTAAGTAATGCAGTTATTAGGAAACGGGTACTAGGTAAGAATAGCAAATCAATTGATGAAGTAGTGAAACTTCATCAGTTGAGATGGCTAGGACACGTGTTACGTATGCCCAACTACCGACATGCGATATTTTATGGTATAGGAGTAGGTTGGAAGAAAGTTAGGGGGTGGCCAGACCAAAACATGGCACAAATGCATGAAGTCACTGACAAGTGGACTGAGCCATGTTGGTAGGTGTAGACTACCTGGTTGGAATCCGCGAGGCGATAACAACTAAACAGAATTACTCAAGTCAATACAGAAAAAACTAATGAAATAGAAAAATTAAATGAAGAACAATCGAATTTAAAACAAATAAAAGATGTAGAAATTAAAAAATTAGAAGAAAGCCAATGTTTCATTTTTTTTATTGACATCATGAATCGATTAATGATGTTAGACCAGCATTGAAAACCTGGAAGCATTGGACGGTCGTTTCGTCCTATTTTGGGACCGGTGACCTACTAGTATTTGACCACAGATGCCTTAGAAATATTACTGGCGTCTGTTGGAATCACCGGTTAAGTAATAGTGAGGTTAGACACAGGGTATTAGGGAATGATGGTAAATCAATTGATGAAGTTGGGAATGTTCATTGACTGAGATGGTTGGGCCACGTATTACGTATGTCTGAACACCGAATACCACGACGCGCAATAGTGACTAGTATTTGGAATGGTTGGAAGAAAGTTAGGGGCGGCCAAACCAAAACGTGGCATCAGTCCACAAAGTCACTAACTTCTAGTCTTAGCCATGTTGATAGATGTAGACTACTCGATTGGGGTCCGCGTGACTATCGTAATCAATTGTTCGAGACTGTGGGTGGCATGGCTCAGAATCGATCATAATGGCGTAGGTGTATACACTCACTGTCTTCCCTTAAACTAAGAGATTAAAATGACTTCATATCTTCCTTTCTAAGAACTAATTCTTTCTCCGTGTATTATATCCTTATATACAATCTTTCTTTTATATATTACCACCATTGAAGTAACTACGTCTATGAATCCAGTGTTTACCTTGCTGTGCTAATGCGGTATGGCAACTTGGGCCGATGTATATATGTGTCTGGTCCTACGTTGTAGCTGACTGACTGGGACTCCTCAGCAGTGCACATCCACGATCCCGCTCGTGGGATTCGAACCCAGGATCTATTAGTCTCGCGCGTGTACGCTTAACTTATTGAATCACCGAGCCGGTGGGCATCCAATGGTGTTAATGTCTAACCTCAACCAATCCACGAAATTGTGCGATCATCTTCCATTGTACTCAGGTAGACACTTGTTTCTACCCGACACGGATTAGCTCCGCCAGCGGGATCGTGGATGCACACTGCTGAGGAGTCCCACAAGAGGACGAAACAGCTTTCTAGTGCTTCCATCTTTTCAATGGTGGTATAACATCGTCAATCGGTTCATGATCTCAATCAAAAAATGTTTTATTATTATTACTTTTTTATAGTGTCAAATGAAGATTTTGAAATGATGTAATAGATTTATAAGTTAGATAAATATCCTTATATTCGCTGATCTGAAAATAGTTGATGCAAAAGCTTACATTATCATTTTGATCAATATTACAAAATTTATTTCTGTTTGTTGATGTTATTTGATAAATCTTGTTTATTGAATGGTATATTCGATTCTTAAGCTAGTCTCGTAACCTCCAAGCTAGAATCATATACAGCGAACTAAACACAAGAGAAAAGTCGCAAAATATGCAAGAAGCACTTTACTCTCAAGGTTCGTTTTAGTATAGAATATACAAGGTTTTTTTATAGTATCTTAGATGTCCTTGGGTTCCCCGAAAATTCTGGAGTGCTACTAAATATAGTAGTAATATAGTAACCAGCCAATCAGAAACTCGACATGTGACTTTTTAATTTCTTATGAATGCTGATTGGATAAAATGTTTTTTAGTATTTTCTGAGCATTTTTTGTGTGGCTTTTGCTGGAAGTTCTCTAGATCATCCCAAACATTATCCATTAGGATAATGAAAGCTATGAAATTATGTCGATCAACTTGAAGAATTCCCTATTAAAAAAACAAACTTGAAACTTAGAAATGTTAACAATACTAATCAATCTTTACCGATATTTTAAAGGTTATTGACGATTACAGACAATATTATTAAACATGAGAAACGAGTTAATAAAGTATTTACTTTCTGAAATGTTGTGAAGTATGATTAGATGATGGTTGGAGGTAGTCAACAGGAAACCCTGGACCCGGGTTTCGTGCTACTTGGCACTCGTCAGTATGGTGTACCTGTAATCTTTGAGGGAACTGTTGCTCCCTGACGGATTCGATCCTGTGTCACCCGGCTTCACAGTTAGAGACGTTACCACTGAGCTATCCGATTCGCGACCGACCTCCTGTAGGACTGAGATGTAATCACAATTGATTGCTCACTGGGTGGGTGGTGACTAATTCCTGCTTCGGTCTGGGCACCCGGGCAGTATCACAGCCCACACACAGGTATGGTATGGCGCATATATATTTGGTGCCCTCTTGTACCAATATTTATGTGTTCCAAATAAAATAAATAATTAAACATGATTATCCAGAGAAGAAAATGTGATTAACTTACGAAAAGAATATCATTTTCATAGAAATTCCTGAAAATAATAAAGTTTTTAAGCGTATCAATAATTTTAAACTGGTATCAATGATAATTAGTAGTTCTAGAATACTTTAGTCTAGTAAATTTTGGTAGTTATTTGTTTAATAAAAATTTTCTATGGAATATTCTGGGAGTAAATCACAAATCTGTATGATGTTTAGAGATAAATCTATATATTTTTTTGAGAGACTGTTTGTTTTGAACTAATGTTTTTTTTTAAATATAAGAATGGGCTTTGTGGATGTTATAGTAATTTTAATAGTTGAGATCATGAGTCAAAACCATTGGATGCCGGCTCAGTGGTCTAGAGGTTAAGTGCTCGTACGTGAGACTGATAGGTTCTTAGTTGAAATCTCGCGAGACAGGATCGTGGATGCGCACTATTGAGGAGTCCTATACTAGAGTGAAACGGCCATCCAGTGCTTCTAGGTTTTCCATGGTGGTCTATCTTCAATTGACTCATGATTTCAACTATTGAAATTTTTAAAATATCCACAAAACCCCTACTAATAGTAATCATCTGCTCACTAGTGACTGACTTCAGGAGGCATTTCTTGGAGTTCTAGTGGGAAGCCGTGACCAGTGGAGTTCAACCAGGTGTGTTGTGAGATATCAGCTCACTGAAGACAATGGTGTACAGTGGCACGATCTCGTGGATTGGTTGAAGTTAGACATTAACATTGTTGGATGCCGACTGGCTCAGTGGTCTAGAGGTTAAGTGCTAGCGCGCGAAACTGATAGGTCCTGGGTTGGAATCTCGCGAGGCGGGATCGTGGATATGCACTACTGATGAGTCCCATACTAGAGTGAAACGGCCATCCAATGCTTCCAGGTTTTTCATAGTAGTCTAACTTCAATTGACTTATGATCTTAATGATTAATGTTTTTTTAGTTCAGTGGAAGAAAATCCGAGTTCACTATTCTCTTAACCTTACATAATTGGTTTTCATTCATGAGTTAAGTCATTCAAATGTCAATTAACCTTCTATATCTATACTTATTTATTAAGAATACAATATGAATAATCACTAATATTTGGATTTAAAATATAGGAAATTATTATGGAGAAAAATCAATTAATTGACAATATGAATGAACGTCTTTCTACTAATAATCAAATACATTTGAATACATCAGAACATGAAACAAATAATGAAATACCATCTAATGTAATGAATTCATCCCATTATGATTTGGATTATATTAAGAATTATAGAATTGAACGTGATGGATTAATAAAATTAATAGAAACTATGGAATGTAGAATTGAAGAACTTATGAATGAAAAATGAAACTTGAAATGGTAAGTTTAATAAATAAGAATTTTTATCGATTGCTTGGCTTATTGGGTAAGTAATAGTGAGGTTAGACGTAGGGTATTAGATGATGATGGTAAATCAGTTGATGAGGTTGTGAATGTTTATCGACTGAGATGGTTGGCGTTTTGGAATATTAAACTACTGGGACTGGCAGGTAAATGGAAGGCTAACTGGATACGTATAGAAATCTAGTTAACTTGAGTAGGAGTATAGGTTATATAAGGGACGTTTATAGAAACTTAATTCAATTCAACCGGTTGTTATGATAAAATCATTACGGATTGATTGAAGCTATTACGTTTTACTTTAGTAGTATCGTGTTCGCTATGGAGTCCTGAGGCTAGTTTCAATTGCATGTACTATTATTGATGGATATTTCGAGAAGGCTCCTGAACTACATTGTAAAATCTATTTGTCGCTACACCATTTCCAGTAATGGTTTGAATATTATCTCTTCTTCGTAAGCACTAACTTTACGTAAAGCCGACTATCTGGTTTATCATTTGTATATAGCTGAAAATGATTTTTTTAATGAAACATCAGATATTGGACCAGTAAATGCTGGCCAACCCGTTTCTCTAATTCTGGAACTATATAGGCAACAAAATCCACAAATTTGTTAGGGATTGAAGCAATTATATACAAGACTCTATAAGAGTACAATACTGAGGTGGAACTGAAGTAAGTTCATGGTGCAAACCGTAATATAACTGATATGCTACTACAAAATCACTTATTAATATAAAAATCATTGTGCATTCGCTAGTGAGTAACTTTAAGAGGTAGCTCTTAGAGCTCTAGCGAGAAAATTTGATCCTTTGAGATCGAAAATGTTAGGGATAGGACAAATATCACCAGAGTTAATGGATAAACAGCACTCGATATCGCGAAATAATTAAAGTTGCGATTACAAACCACTGTACGTCAAGTCAATGGTATTTATTTATTCAAACACATAAATAATGGTACAAAGGGACACCGAGTACATATGCACCACACAATTTACTTGATTTGTTTGGCGGCTGTGATACTGCCAGGGTGCCTAGACCGAAGTAGGTAGTTTCCTTAGGGAGACACACTCGTTGCCTTTGACCTAAATGTCTAATCCACAAGGCATTGGCGCAACGTCAGGAGATGCAATCCCATGGTAGCCGGTGACCAACGATTGGTTCATACGCCATTTGTTCCTTCAGGATACTGGAGCCCATGTACACCATTGGTTTGGAATCATTGTTTTCCAACTCCCCTAGGTAAACTCTCCGTATCCACTAACCCGGTTTAAGCTCCGAACATTCGCTTTTAGTTCTCTCAATTTCGTAAACAACATCCCCATTGCGAGAGGGCAGCGAGTAGGACTTCCGTGGTAGTATAGCTGTATATACATGGCTATGTGAGAGCATTTCGAGAAGGAGAGCTAACTCTCCCCACTCTCGGCCGTACTAAGGCATTTTTTGGCGGGGAGCAACTTAGTGGTATGAAGGTTAAATACTTGCCACAAGGCCTGAAATCTATCCTAGATGGGGTCATAAATGTGAACTGTTGAGGAATCTTTTACTTGAATAAAACAATTATCCAATGCTTCATAATTTTCAACAATTATCTAACTAAAACCAATTCGTATTACAATCCGAAAAATTTAAAATGAATAATCTCTACAATCGCTTATAATGAAAACATACACTATTCATTGAAAACTACACAACGTGCTTTATAATTATAATAGTATTATAGTGAAGGAGAACACAGGTGAGGACAACCGAATTATATTTAGCACAACATTACAGAGTTACTTGGTAAAATAGAAAAACCATACTATAATACTTAATTTGCAAAATGTTCATTAATTGTCTCCAACTTCATTGTTCTTACATTTCTATACTAATTACTTTCTATTCCCGTTTTTCCTTTCTTGATCTTCCCCATCTACTGCTGCCAGACATTACATTTCTGACTCACATCATATTACTACTTATATCAATATAAGTAGCACACACCACGGTATTATTAAAAATAAATGATCATAAAATATATTTCTCTATTGCTTTTTATTTCTTTTTTGTCTTTGTTTTCAAAGAAAAATGCTGAATTAACAAGAAAAACGCTTTTGAAACCAAATGTAAAAAATCAATATTTTTTGATCAATGAAAAATCAATAAAATCGGATGATTCCCATAATAATAATAATAATAATAATAATAATAATAATAATAATAATAATAATAATAATAATAATAATAATAATAATAATAATAATGGTAATAACAGTAATGATAATAATAACAATAATGATAATAATGAGCAATTATTTCATTATCTTACCAATGATAATTATATTAAAAATTTAATTCAAAAATGTTCATTATCATCATATTCAATGAAAATTATCAATAAATGTATAAAACAATATCAAACTATATTAATACAATATTATAATGAAATAATAAATTTAAAAAATAATATAAAATTAATATTAGATTATCATAAAGATGATTTTAAATTAATGATGAATATTATTGATGAATTAAAACGACAACAACCACAGCAACCACAACCATCACCACCACAACAACAACTACCACCACCAGAGCAACAATCAAAGCAACAACAACAACAATAAAGAAAAGAAAAGATATAAAGAAATACACATTTAAAAGAAAAAAAAAGTAGTACTTTTATTGATTTATTAATGGGTTTATTCAATGTGATCGTTTTTTTTAAAAATATTTTTGTTGGTATAAGATAGAATTCTCAGTACATGGTTGTTATATCTTTTGGGCTGTGTACCCTGTTAATTGTATAATGTGATGATACTGCTAACTACAGAGCAGTGACTTATCGATTGAACCAGTGACGCGTAAAAAACACGTGTGAGAAGTCTAGAGTACTTATCGGTCCTGCTTCCTGCCTAGGCCAACCAGTTAAGTCCAGAACACCAATCTCAACCTCTGGAATATGAATCATTTATTTCAAACATATTGGGTTTATATATGAACCAGACAGACCACATCGTGCCATAAAATAGGAAACAACATTTGTCCAAGATTTAGCCAAATGTGGCTGTGGATGAGGGAGATAGTAATTAATAGACAGGTCCTAATTCAAGAATGATAAATCGTATACTAATCATTCATAGGTCAAAATGAAGCTCACAATAAGAGGGACATGAATATGAATAGTTTAGTCATTCTACAATTATACGATAAGAATGTACGTATAGTATTGATTCATAAATGGATCCCAACAGTTACCATTCATTATGCTTATCGGGACCTAACAGTTTTACTCTTTAGTTTAATAAAATAACAAGGACTACAGTTCAACATTATCAATGTAAAAGTTGTAAATAAAAACTTGATGTAAATGTTTATATGACTTTCCATGATTAATGAAATTATTCTTGAATAAATTTGTAAATCTGATGCTATTTTGATTTATCAAGTTAACTGTCGTAAGAAATTCATGAAGTAAGAGTCTCTTAACATCTAGTTCACATGTAATAAGAGAAACACTAATATGAATAGTTTAGTCATTTAACAATTATACAATAAATGTATACGCATAGTATTGGTCCATAAATGGATCCCAAAAGTTACCATTCATTATACTTATCGGGACATAACAATAGTATTTCAACAAATTGTCTATTTGTTATTTTATGATCGATAGCTGACGATAACATATTAAGTGATCGGTAGTAAGATTATAATAAAAGACATACCCCAAATGCCCTGGTACGGCCGAGAGTGGGAAGAGTCCGCTCTCCCTCTCCAAATGCTCTCACATGGCCACGCGTATATAGCCTCTGCCAGGAAAGTCCTACTCACTGACTTCTCGTGGCATTACTGTTGTTTACGAAATTGAGAAGACGAAAATCGAGTGTCCGGCGCTTTAACTGGGCTGGTGGACATGGAGAGTCCACCTAGGGGAGTTGGAAAACCCGCATTCCAAACCAATGGTACACATGGACTGCAGTATCCTGAAGGAACAAATGGCGTATGAACCAATTGTTGGTGGCCGGCTACCATGGGACTGCATCTACTCACGATGCTCCACTGTGTTGTGGATCAGACCTGTAGGTCGAAGGCTCTGGGTGTGGTCCCCTAAGAAAACCATCTGGTTCGGTTTGGGCACCCGGGCAGTATCACAGCCCTCACACATATCAAATGAGATTTGTGTGGCGCATGTGTATTTGGTGCCTCTTTGTATCAATATCTATGTGTTAAAATAAATAAGTTAAATTATAATAAAAGACATCGCGGTGGTTGGCAATATGCGTTGAAAAGAATGAACATTAATTGTATGTCGATTCCTGAGCTACTAAATTCTAACTGCCGATCACTAATTAACAAGGTGAATGTTGTGGATGCGCAGGAATAGACCAATAATTATCATGTTAAGTCCAATGGTGTCCTTGGGCTTTAAATGGACATTTCCTATTGGTCGATATCTGTTTACTCGATGAATATTGTACAAAATGTTGTTTTCTTTTTTATGGTACGCTGTGGTATGCTTGACTAGTATATAAACAAAGTATGTTTGAAATATAGTGATTCATATCTCCGAGGCTGTGACTTTTGTTCTCCACTCAACTGGGCTAGGACAGTCAGCGGGGCAGGGCCAATCAGGGCACTAGGTCGTCCCTTACGTGTTTTCCGTGTCACTCTCACCGAATCGATCAATAAACGCTGCTTATCAAACCCTGCAGTCTCACAACTTAAATTCATAACAATTTGGTGTAGCATAGGGTGGACTACCACAAAATGTATCCAATTTTTGTGAATTAGAAAAATAATTTGAAAATCCAAAATCTGCTATTTTTATGTTCAATTCAGCATCAAGTAATAAATTTTCAGCTTACTTATTCCTGTTACCACTCTAGGAGGAGCATAGGTTGCTCACCAGGATTAACTGTCGAACTCTCTTCTGGACAACCCTTTCCAGTTGTTTCCAGTTGCTATTCATCCTTTTCATGTCTGCTCCCAATTCTCGATACAATGTGCTCTTAGGTTTCTCTTTCTTCCTTTTCCCTTCAGGATCCCAAGTTGGCACTTTCCTATCCACCTCCAGCGTCTTTTCCTAATTTCCTTATCAGCTGGAAAATGGTTTATTCTTTCCCATAGTTGGTTGTTGCTGACGGACATCGAGTTTCTTGCGTAAACATCTGTTTATAAAAGCTTGTATCCTTTAGATCATGGCTGTAGTTCTCCGCGTTTCATCCCTGTACAATGTAACTGTCTTGACGTTCGTATTGAAGATTGAGACTTTGATGTTAGCTGATAATAGAGTTCAGTTCAACATGTTTTTCGACTGTAGGAATATTTTCCTTGCTTTGCCAATCCTTTCCTTTTTATAGGCAACAGATCCATCTCGTTCATCGATTATGTTGGCCAGGTACGTGAAAGTTCTCAGATCATCCAGAGCTTCATCAGGTGTGATTGAGTTGGAGCTCTCGGTGTTTCATTTGAGGGTTTTGCTTTTTAATTTATGTATGTTGCGGCCTACTATTGCAGAGGCTGATGTTACACTGGCTGTTACGACCTGCAAATATCGGTGTGTATGGGCTAGGAGAGCTAGGTCATTTGCGAAATCCAAATCGTCTACTACAATGGATATTGAATTTTTTTCAAGTCTCGATGAACAATCATTTTTTGATGACAATATTGTACAGCTGAAACAATTTGACGAAATTTACATCGCGCATCTTTTTCATTCATTTTACCATGTGAAACAAGATAATCAAATACTTCACCTCCACTTGCATATTCCATGACCAAGTATAAATGTTTTTCAGATTCAATAACCTCCAATAATTTGATTTTAGATTTTTTCCATCAAATGGCAATGTACCGCTAACCAATGTATATAGAATTACACCTAATGACCAAACATCAACTTCAGGACCTTCATATTTACGTCCTAAAAACAATTCCGGTGGTGTTGTGGATGCGGAAGAATAGACCAATAATTATCATGTTAAGTCCAGTGGTGTCCTTGGACTTTAAATGTACATTCCCTATTGGCTATTATTTAATTCATTCGTTACATATTGCGTAAATGTTGTTTACTATTTTTATGGTACGCTGTGGTATGCTTGACTAGTATATAAACAAAGTATGTTTGAAATATAGTGATTCATATCTCCGAGGCTGTGACTTTTGTTCTCCACTCAACTGGGCTAGGACAGACAGCGGGGCAGGGCCAATCAGGGCACTAGGTCGTCCCTACGTGTTTTCCGTGTCACTCTACCGAATCGATCAATAAACGCTGCTTATCAAACCCTGCAGTCTCACAATTTAAAGTCATAACAATTGGCGACGGGGTGGAGAAAAATTTTGAACCTTGTAATTGGACGAGATTCAGGTTAATTGTTTCGACCAATCAGCATCCAGATTGTCACCAGCGTCCTTGAGCAACATTGGTCATTATTCCTACAGTTAATTTTCATTGCAGGTGCTGAAAAAAAAATGACTACCTTTTCCGATCGATTACAGCTTCTACTTGAGCAACAACAGCAGTGCTTCAAAAATAGCCAGTTAAATTTTTTAGAAAATTTACGCACACTGTTGGTAAATGTTCCATGTTTCGGAGGTGCAACAGAAGTTGGTAAATTCATTTCTCATCTGCAGACTGAGCTGGAAAACAACTGCAGAACATATGAAGCTGTTTATAAAAGCCTCTGTGAATCCCGGACGACCAGTGATGTAAACGAGACAGTTATTCATGGTCCGCCCAGTTGTCCAGAAATGTCAAATTCCGAAACGTTCCCTGTCGTGGGTTCAAATCCCACTGTTCCTGAAACGTGTACAGACAGTGATGTACCCAGCTCACAGGAGGATCTCTTATTAAATGCTCATAAATTAATTGCAGTACCCGCCCACAACGGAACAGGGAACAAATCGTGCGGTACACTGAATCCAGCTGTTTCAAATGGTCCTCATCATTCAACAACAGGAGATTCTGACGAATCTTATTATCTAGATCTTTTTGTACCAGAAAATGTGTTAAATGCATTAAATGATGATCAGAAATCTAATACAATTTTGATAGATGTTGATTATCGCAGTGATCAACTGTTTACAAATGAGATTTTCAACAAATCCCGTGACAATGTTCCAGAAGAATCAAACGTTGGTGACCTCATATCAAGCGACATTGTTCCCCACTATTTAATCACTTTCAGTGACTCCCCTGTTCAATCTGACAATTATGTGTTAAATAAAGTCAAATTAATTCTAACTTGGGAATATGAGGACCCAACATTATTTCGTGGGGGAGGATGAACCCAGAAAATTTCAAAATCCGGATATCAACTCCGGATCTTCAAAAAAAAGGGGAGGTGTTGTGGATGCGCAGGAATAGACCAATAATTATCATGTTAAGTCCAATGGTGTCCTTGGACTTTAAATGGACATTTCCTATTGGTCGATATCTGTTCACTTGTTGAATATTGTACAAAATGTTGTTTTCTATTTTTATGGTACGCTGTGGTATGCTTGACTAGTATATAAACAAAGTATGTTTGAAATATAGTGATTCATATCTCCGAGGCTGTGACTTTTGTTCTCCACTCAACTGGGCTAGGACAGACAGCGGGGCAGGGCCAATCAGGGCACTAGGTCGTCCCTTACGTGTTTTCCGTGTCACTCTCACCGAATCGATCAATAAACGCTGCTTATCAAACCCTGCAGTCTCACAACTTAAATTCATAACAGTGAATTATCTTTAATTTTTACTAAGTCAAAATATGTATCGTAATTGTGGTATCATCACAATTCAAGAATATTGGTTAAATGATTTGCAAGACGATTACTTAGTATCACTACGTGATTTCAAAATTTATCGTCAGGATTGATCAAACAATAAAAAGAGATGTGGTTGTGGTGTAGCTACGTTTGTAATCTCTACCTCTTTACATCCCATAGAGAATAAATGAGTTTT